AACATGAGTGCCTTTTACCGAATGAATGTCGATATTGAACTCAACCCGTTCAATGTGTTCGCGGCGGAAAAGAGACCATACCTTGGAAAATAGCGTCATTTTTGGCGCAGGACTTTTCCTCTATTGCATCGAGTTGTCATCAATTCCGCGGTCTAATCCCACAAAGTAGAATGGCAGACGGCAGCATTTTGGTCAGAAGTTAAGTGACAATTTTTGGACTTACAGACAAGTTGAATTTGTCCCGTTTTCCCGCATATGAAACAATTCGCTCGCGTTTGAGGGCAAGAACTAATATCCTCGTACTCTATCACTTGTATATAATAAGGGATTAGATGACTGCAAAATCTGTCAAAAGCGCGGTATCCGTGGTTGACTTAAAGTAGGCGAAATGATTGACATTGTTCATCTAGGCTTCGGATATTGTGAGTGACCCAGACAAACAAAACGGCATCCGTTTAAATTATCAAAGAATATTCTCAACCGTTAGCGCCGTATTCTCCCGGTCCTCCGCCTTGACAGATAGTTGTCAGGATTCGCAACCCCTTGGTTGGCTACGGAACGTTGCCGTCACCTCGTTAGATGGAAGGACTATTAAGAACTGAGAAAGAAACAAGCAATCGGAAACCTCCCAGTGTCACTCTAACCGGATGGCATGAGTAGGCATAATTTGGTGGAAATCCACCGATTCCGATGTTGTGCTGCCCGTCTTGGGACGGAAGCTAATGATCAACTGCAACGACATGGGACATACATAAAAACTTACGGCCTAGTTCGGCGGACGGCCTTGCTTTGAGAACCAGATTTGATGACGATTCACCCATTTGTTAACTAATTTGGTATTTCGAGAAACACACCTAGAACCCAGCTGAATCTCTCATTTGTGATAATTCCAAGCAACTGAATGTGCTGCACCAGGACGCCGCATGGCTCAGTCGCTACGATATTCGAGATATCGCGGTATATGTATATTTGTAGTGCGCTAATCATAAGGTTGCTGAAATTTCGTCGACAGCCAACGACCGGTTTCCCCTTCTTAGGGCTCATCAGGTAGGGGCAGTCCCCGATGAATGACTTACAGGGGGCCGAACGATGAGACCGGTGCAAACGGTGTTACTTGCTCATCGTGCATCCACAGAGCCTACCAAAGGCGAGTCCCTCCTCATGGTGATGCATGGTCACCAGTGCTGTCTGATAATCAGTGCATATCCGGAGAAAATGCTTTCAAACGGAAGACGGATTACAGGTTTTTATAAACAAGGTGCATGAAATCGTTTCAGCTTCCTGGCCTATTATCTGCAAAAGTGCAGTGCGGATTTTCCGATAAACGCCTCTGCGAAGAAGAGCTTCCCTATAATCACTGGTACATGAATTACAAATATGCTATTACTGTATACCAACGAGTAGAATGTTGAGTCACCCCGAAATTAATGAGGCAGAAGTTCGTCACCTCGGACAGGCTCATGTCGACGTTTAAACTAAAGAAATGATATGCAATGCAACGCTGGTAAGTAGATAGGTGCTGTGGAAGTGCTTTCAACTACGTTTATGCTACTCACAAAATTGCTGAAAATTCTTTGAAAGCTCACCACCGGTTTTGTCATCCTTCGTTAACGGTCTCCGTGTTTCCATCTACCACGGAATCTATTTGAACGAAAAAGGACGGATTTCGAGAACTTTGTCTCATTTGCACATCAGTTCGGTTTTGACAGGAGACTCAGCTGAATCCAGTTGAACTGTTGTTTGCGATAGTTCGCTTCAACCGAATGTGGCGCACAAACCTGCTCAGTATTCCTGTTGGTACTATATTCGAGGAAAGTAGTGCGCTTTTGTTTAGGTTACATTAATTTAACGTTGTTGAAAACACTTGGAAAGCCCAATACAAGTTTCGCTCTTCTTGGAGTTCCCGTCAAATTAGAAATCATTTGCAAATGAGGTTAGTTTCCCAAATATTCTTGCTCTAGTTAACCAGTCTACACCACAATATCCCTAAGAAATTTTTCACAAGTAATGGACATATTCGGAGTACCGTCCCTTTGTCGGAAAATTAGGTCCTCGAATGGGAATGGCCTCAAAAGTGTAGATGAAGTTTTTCTAACTTCGATCACAATTTAGATCGGACAACTTGAGTCGGATATCTATTCGCGGTTTTGTGAGTTGCGCATTTTTGATGATTCCCAAATAGAATGATATTGCTGCATAGTGATTCGCGGATTTTCAGTATAGATTGGCTTCACTTGAAAGAAATTTACAGAATTGCGGGACTTCTTTCCGAGAATTCTCCACTGATCGGCAATATGTCCAATCCTGGTGAAAGCTAATCACACTACAGATGCGCCGGTTGGGGCTCAACACGGTCAGGTGCTGAATGTGTTAGTTGGACTGTCACCACTAATGATTCCCAGTAGGAATAAAATGGCTTGGCGGTGCTTCTCAGCTTTTGGGCACAAAATATGTCTATTTACATGAAAAAAATTTCTACACTATCAAAACCTGAGGCTGAGTCTTTCCTTAGTATCCTTGTGGAATGCGCAAGCATTCCCCTTTCTCAGGGGACTCC